CGACACACCCTTAGAGACCCCTCTTAATAATGTGGTCTTTCCTACGACTCGAATCGAACCAAAAAATAAACCTTCGAATCGCGAGTAGACCACACCTTTGATCTTTTTGAATTGGGGGTCGCACATCTTCATCAAACACAATATGGAACCAATATCCCGAGATAAACTTTAGCAACCGATATTAGTTCCACTAACCACATTGTCATCAAACCAAAATATAGTTTAAGTGCCAAATGCACTTTCAGTTATCTCAGAAAGACCCGAATAAAATTTTGGAGAAATGCACAGCATCGATGGACGGAGCAGAACCTCAATCAGGTCTATGTACTCGATGGTACAGAAAGTTAACAAGAGCTTAACTGAAGTATTGTCTTAATCTCATCCATAACCCTGACTGTCACAACCTGATACTTACCTGAAGCCATGAAAATCAAGCGTAGAACTGATAGGCGCCAACGACAGAGGGAAGCCCAACTAACCAGTCGGGCCCATGAGGAAGAGAGAAGCAAGGCTGGCCTAGCCAACGCTGTGTAATGGTACTTAGGTGTGTGTTACTCTAAAAAAAGACTTAGTGTGTGTTGCGTGGGAGAGGGCATCAAACATTACTATAAACAGAGCCATAGTATCCCTATCCTTCCTCCATTCTTCTCCTCCAAGCTGCTCTGTCAGTGTTCCCCTTCTCCAATTCTGGTGAGACGTCGCGAACCTTGCTACCAACGTAATGTCTGAACTAAAATAGGGATAACCATAATGTTTCAGCCATTGACATCCGCCTGAAAATTTTGGCGTTCTAGTATGGATTGGGTAGTGGAAGAGACCCTTCATGTGGTATGGTATATGGACATTCTTCATTTTTCATCTAATAGATGCATTTGCTTCTTTCAAGATACAGTTGTTGCAGCTCTTCAACCATGACACCAACGGTCTCCTTTGCGCAAAACCTTCAAAGGACAGAGCATATTATATTGGGCAACGCATAAAAGCTTCAGCCCACCATAAGGTCATCTAATTCTTTTGAGTTACAGACATACAATAATACGAACCTTTGACACAATATACCCACTTTTGTATGTGTACGCTGTGCTTGGCCAGCCTTTTAAGTCACGTCTGTCACTTCTCGCGCACCTTGGCTGCCACATTAAATCACATACGTTAGTTTTTTCAAGAAAAAAATATTTGATAAAAGAATTTCTAGATGACTCAAACTTAGATTTCAGGCTATTGGCGAAGGCTACTTGCCACTCGAACAAGTCACAACTTGTGACTTTGCACAACACGGCTTATATAAGGACAACACTACAACGTTCACATGTTAAACAATTTCTAAAAAAACAAAACCAAAACTTTTCTTCAGAAAAATGTGAAAAATTTGCGCATGCCGGATATTTTCATAAATAGCAGATAATTTATGAATCTCCAAACTTCATTGAAAACTACGAAAAAATTTCAAAATTCCAAAATATTTTCTGAAAATGTGAAGAACCCTGGGATTCCGAATATCTTTTGAAAAAATGTAAACAATTTTTTTAGCCTAAAATGTTTGTAAAAATGCTTTTTTTAAAAGTTCAAATATTTTAAGAAAAATATGGGAAAAAATAAAAAGCATGAATATTTTTTGAAAACATGAGAACATTTTTAGAAACCCCGACCAAAATTTGGAAAAGCACACTTTGTTTTGGTATTTGTGAAGAATTTCTTAAAACGGGAATATTTTTTGAGATCCTGTTTTTATTTTTGAATTAGTGGACAGAAATTCAAAATAAGAATATATTTCAGCTTCTATATTTTTTGGAAAAGCACGAACATTTTTTTGAAATTACGAAAAAATTGGAAAACATGAACAGATTTTTGAAATTAAAACACAAAATCATAACATGAACATTTTTTTATTTTTTCCGATCATTTTTCGGAAATGTGAGCAATATTCTTAAATGCAAATAAGTTTAGAAAACAGGCGCCCGATGGCAGCGATACCGTCACCTAGTTGGGCCAAGGCTTAAGTATTTTTTTTTCATTTTTCGTCATTCTTGCCTTTTATCGTTCATTCTTTTTTCTCATTTCAAATTTATTATTCTTTTTGAAAGCAGTTCAAAATTTTGAAATATTGTTAATTTAAAGGAAATGTTTTCAATTATGATTTTAAATTCTTTTTTCATCAAACATTTATTAAATTCTTTAAATTATTATCCTTTTCCATTTTGTCCTTTTGTATTTATTAGTTATGTTAAAAAGTTTAAATAACAGTTTCAGGTTCTTGTTTAAATTAATAATTTGAAGTACATTTTCTTCAGACTTGGCATGGGATGCATACAATGGGAATGCCCACCTTCTGGCAAAAATTCTAGTAATTTCAAGAAAGTCCCAAAAACACCATGTTCATCATAGTATGTCCGGGTAGGGTTTCTTGACAACCGTCAAATGACTCCATTGCTTTCATTAGCTAGTATGACCAATTCAAGGCAGCATGCCAGGTTATTTTGGTTTCCGACAAATTTTGCATTTTCTAAAGTTTTCTTGGTAAAAAAAAGGCCGATAAATGGTTGGACGTGTCACAACTTAACTACGCTGTCGGAAATGTTCAATCCTAGCACGGATTCACCATGGGCACGTCCACCTAATTGCAGAAGTTAGCATTATTTTAAGAGTGTGCAAAACTAGACCATGTTCAATAGAGGTTGTCCTGGTAGACCAGAAGGCTTCGTTTGAGAGCATGTTGTTTCTCAACATCCTTGAGTTGGCTCCATTTTTTTCATAGCCTTATATTACAAATTCAAGGCATCATCCCAACTTGTTTGGGTTTTCTACTAGCTTTGCATTTTCTAGAGTTTTCTTAGTGAAAAAGCACGATAAATGGTCGATTTGACACAAGTTGCATAATATATCAAAATTTGTTCAAACCTCACATGGATGCCTCTCATGGGCATGCCCACTTGCTCGAAAAAGTTGGGGTTATTTCTTGCATATTTAAAAATAGACCATGTTCAATGGAGGGGTGTTCCGTCAGGCAAGAAGGGTCCGTTTGGGAGCGCGTATTTTTGGCATCCTTTAGATAAGCAAAAAAATTCCCATGAGCTTATATGACCAATTAAATGCACCATGTCGTTTTCCTTTTTCGACAAACCTTGCATTTTCTAAAGTTTTCTAGGTGAAAAATGCCTGATTAACGGTTGGATGTTACGAACTTACAGGTGTCGAAATTAGTTCAAATGTGACATGGATGCCTAACATGGGCACGCCCACCTGTTGGCAAATTTTGGGGTCATTTCATGCATGTCCAAAAATAAATCATGGTTTATGATTTTTATTGATTTTGAAAAATGAAGTTCACAAATTTCAAAAAGTTTATAGAATTTTAAAATAATTTCATGAATTTGAAAAAAAGGGTTTGATAAAAAAATCATACAAGTTGAAAAGAGTTCGTGGATTGAAAAAATTCATGCATTTGCAAAACGGTTAACGCATTCGGAAAAAAAGTTCATGGATTTTTAAAGAAGCTCACAAATTTAGGAAAATGTTCACGACTTTGAAAGGTTCATGAGTTTAGAAAAAAAACAGGATTTTATAATGAAGCAGAAAAGAAATTAAAAAAGAAAGAAAACGAGAAGTAAAAACTGAAGAAAATACCGCCTAAAATAAAAGAAAAACCAAACAAGGAAGCTGCTATGTGTTTTTAGGGCGTCTGCTATTTGGCGTGTATGTCGCTCATTACTGACCTAGCGCGTACCTTAAAGCGACCAAATTTGTTTTGGGTCGGACCGTTCAAGACTCCTTCCCCACTGTTTTTTTCGTTTTTCCTTTGGTTTTTCCATATTTTTTCTTGCTATTACTCTTTCCTTTTTTATTTTGTGTTCTTTTGTGTTCTTTTTTTCCTTTTTCTTTTCCCTTTTTTATTTTATCTCTCTTTTTGTTTCTTTCTTTCTTTTTTATTTTTATTTTTTGTGGACATGTTTTCTCAAATTGTGAGGAATTGTTTAGAATCATGAATATTTATTAAACTTGTGATTTTTTTTGAAAATATGAAAACTTTAAAAATTGACGAACATATTTTATAATTTAGAATACAGTTTTGGGAATTGTGAACATCTTTTGAACCCATTAATATTTGTGTTGAATCAACGAATATTTTCTCAAAATTGGGGTAACTATTTTTGTAATTCATGAACATTTGTTTGTACAAGAATTTCTTAAATTCATGAACCTTTTTTGAAGGGAGGAACATAAAAGATCTGGTTAATTTCTGCTAGAAATTTCCTAAGCCATATCAAGTGAAGCCTAAATTGTACACCCGACATATGCTTAGGAAATTTCTGCTAGAATATTTAATTTGCATTAGATCTGGTTAAGCAGGCTTCTCACACGGATAAGACCATGTAGACATTGAAAAACAGAAGTGATTTACTCCAAATGGCTCATATTTATTAATAAGCCCCTTGCACTGTTCAAACATGACCAATACCTGCAGCAGCTCAGAGGTGCTAACGAAAACAGCCTCTCAATTTTCAACATTGTTGCATCTGCTCTCTGCTGCAAGCCTACAACCGAAATGTATCATTTCCAATCAGTAACAAGGCAGTAACAAGAACGAATCACATGCGAAGAGGCAAATACTGGTACAATTACGTACTTCCTTTGTAAACTAATATAATAGCGTTTAGATCACTACTTTAGTATTCTATAAATGCTTTTATAGTAGTTTATTGAGGGAGTACCTGCTTGGAGACCCCGTGGCAACTGTCAAGCATGAACAAAGCGGATAGCAACGTCTTCGTGTTGGACCAGCCCGTACATCTCGCACCCACAACCTTGCAAGCATGCACGTCGACGCCGAGCAGGTGCTCATCAAGCAAGAAGTAGACCATGTGTGATGAATGAGCGCGAGCATGGGGATCTTCCTTGGCAGACCCGTGGCCTTGTAGCTGTCATCGTTGCAGATCCTGTGCTTGAGCGTCGTGCCCTTGAGGAGCTTGACACGGGTGACGGCGGGGTCGTCGGCGAAGGGGTCACAGGTGACGAGGCTCCAGGAGAGGTCGATTCCACCAGAGCCTCCCATAGCAGGAGATGACGCCGTCGGGGTTGTGCAGGCGGGCCGAAAGCGGGTAGGCGACTCTCTCGCTGACCCACTCCACGGCCTGCGAAGAGAAGCGCAGGAGAACGGCCTTGTCGCTGCAGAAGATGGGCTGGAGCTTGGCGACCACGTAGCCCGTGCCGTCGGGGTAGGCGATGAGGCCGAGGTCGCCCTTGTAGGAGACGAGCTTGGGCATGGGGAGTGGCAGGGCGGAGGCGGTGGTGGCGTGGAGCACGAAGTAGGCCACGACGAAAGATAGCCAACTGAACTGCTGGTGAGCGGGTTTGTCGATGATGGTAGGGCCCGTGGCGCGGCCCTGGTCGGCGTGGAGGAGGAGGAGGCCCGCGGAGGAGTCCACTACTAGGGAAAACCCTACCAGTAGCGCGGGATGCCACGCTACTGATAAGACGCTACAGCTAACATATAGTAGTAGCGCGTGTCATCCCACGCTACTGCTATACATGGCTAGCAGTAGCGAGCTTTAGTGCAGAGCGCTGCTGCTAATATCTGCAGCGCTTTTTAGCAGGAAGCGCTACTGGTAAGGGAACGCTACTGCTAACTTTATTCCCCTCGCTACTCCTAGTTTTATTGGTTTTTGTTTTTTTTTGCATATTTGTTTTGTATGTGAATAGGCTTTATACAATAATCTTTAGCATATCATACACATACAAATGTAATCATAGCATATACATACAAATAGTCTCATCAAATCATGTCATCATCATAATCATCATCCAACACAAAGTGGTCTCTCGTCATCAACTCGAAAGTAGCGATACAAGTCTCGATTACTTGCAACTACATCGTCATCCATCTAAACAATGATATACGAGAGAAGAGCTATCACTATGAGTGAGAGCGGAACTATGCAATACATGAGTTCGTATCCCTCTCTCGCATTAGCGTGAACCTAAACTAACTATTGGCTGTCGCTCGGAAACCGGAAACCGATACACCTGGGCCTGACACTCCGGCAACTCGTCGTATACTCCTGGCCTAGCACTTTTTCGCCATCAATGATCTATGCACCTACATCGTCACATGAGTCAACGATATGCAACATATATAGTTGAGCAACAAAAAGAGACAGACTTGGCAAAAATAGAAGCAACATATCATAAGCATAAATAACAAAGTTCATCGTACCCAAAATGCCCTAACTAGAGTGATCTCCGCTAGTCTCGTCGCCGGTCTCAGTCTCAGCGCAGGTCTTGATGTCGGTCTCAGTCTCAGCGCCGATCTCGATGTCGGTCTCAGTCTTTGATGTGACAGGTGGACCCGGCAATATCAACCGTTGATCGTCGGCTTCCCTCAAAAAATCGCCTGCCGCCAGGTAGACGTTGTCGCAGTCACCAGAACTCTGTCCTTCATCGTTGCTATCAATGTTTCCTACGATTAAATCTAGTCAATTAATTCTAGACCTAATAAAATGAATAATTACATAAAAAAAGCTTATGCTTTGTAGGAACGTTAACTCCTTCCCGGTGCGGCAAATCCCGGGCACTCGATATGTTCTAGTTTGTAGCACAAGTCATGCCGAAATTCACGGAAAATTTCGGCATGACCTTTACTAAAAAGTGGACAAATCGAGAACCTGAATTTTGCCAGAATGGAAATGAATCAACATTCCAGCAAAACATAGGCCACTCGGCTTCATTCCCTGGAAACAACAAAAGGCCACTTGGGCACAATCGAACTGCTTCTATGTTGCATATAACAGGACCACTTAAGAATATGTACATGAGAAACTACAACAGTAGATAAACATGTGCAAACACAATTGAGGAATTTGCATATATCCTGACCACTTCAAATTTGCATCTCCTAGAGTTTGACACTTCAAGAAAATCTACACAAATCTCATGCTCTCCCAAACTCAATTCAAAAACCAAATATAGATTATATTTTGTTAACTACTGAATTAAACTTTACTCTAAACTAAACCCTACTGCCCTAATTAACATCTACTCCCTCCATCCGAAAATACTTGTCATCAAAATGGATAAAAAGAAATGTATCTAGAACTAAAATACGTCTAGATACATCTCCTTTTATCCATTTTGATGACAAGTATTTTCGGATGGAGGGATTAGTTAAACAAACTCAATTCAAAAACTAAACCCTACTGAACTAATTAACATCTACATTATCTACTACTTAAGATCTATTATTACCCTAACTAAGAAACATCTACTATTAACCATACTGCCCTAGTTAACTAGTACCATCACTACTACTAATTAACATCTACTACTACTACTAAAAATCATTATCTATATGAACCCTAGTACTAATTAACATATACT